ATTTAGATTTTTGATTTTTGGCCCAGTTTTCAAGTTGGTCCAAATTGGGGTCCAAAATTAAACTTTGTTTGATTTCAACAAAAATTGAATATATGGGGTTCTTTGATATGCTGAATCTAACCATGTATTTAGATTTTTTATTTGTGGACCCCGTTATCTAATTGGTTCATATTGAGGTCAAAAGGGTCCAAAATTAAACTTTGTTTGATTTCATCTAAAATTGAATTATTGGGGTTCTTTGATATTCCAAATCTAAACGTGTATTTAGGTTTTTAATTTTGGGTCCTGTTTTTTAAATTGGTCTACATTGAGGTCCAAAGGGTCCAAATTAAACTTAGTTTGATTTTAACAAAAATTGAATTCTTGGGGTTCTTTGATTTGCTGAATCTAAACATGTGTTTAGATTTTTGATTATGGGCCCAGTTTTCAAGTTGGTCCAAGATAGGGTCCAGTATTTAAACTTTGTTTGATTTCAACAAAAATTGAATATATGGGGTTCTTTGATATGCTGAATCTAAACATGTATTTAGATTTTTGATTATGGGCCCAGTTTTCAAGTTGGTCCAAATTGGGGACCAAAATTAAACTTTGTCTGATTTCAACAAAAATTGAATATATGAGGTTCTTTGATATGCTGAATCTAACCATGTATTTAGATTTTTTATTTGTAGGCCCCGCTATCAAATTGGTTCATATTGAGGTCAAAAGGGTCCAAAATTAAACTTTGTTTGATTTCATCGAAAATTGAATTATTGGGGTTCTGTGATATGCCAAATCTAACCGTGTTTTTAGATTTTGAATTTGGGTCCCGTTTTTTAAATTGGTCTTCATTGAGGTCCAAAGGGTCCAAAATTAAACTTAGTTTGATTTTAACAAAAATTGAATTCTTGGGGTTCTTTGATATGCTGAATCTAAACATGTGTTTAGATTTTTGATTATGGGCCCAGTTTTCAAGTTGGTCCAAGTTGGGGTCCAAAATTATACTTTTTTTTATTTCAACAAAAATTGAATATATGGGGTTCTTTGATATGCTGAATCTAACCATGAACTTAGATTTTTTATTTGTGGGCCCCGCTATCAAATTGGTTCATATTGAGGTCAAAAGGGTCCAAAATTAAACTTTGTTTGATTTCATCAAAAATTGAATTATTGGGGTTTTTTGATATTCCAAACTAACCGTGTATTTAGATTTTTAATTTCAAGTCCCGTTTTTTAAATTGGTCTACATTAAGGTCCAAAGGGTCCAAAATTAAACTTAGTTTGATTTTAGCAAAAATTGAATTCTTGGGGTTCTTTGATATGCTGAATCTAAACATGTGTTTAGATTTTTGATTATGGGCCCAGTTTTCAAGTTTGTCCAAGTTGGGGTCCAAAATTAAACTTTGTTTGATTTTAACAAAAATTGAATATATGTAGTTCTTTGATATGCTGAATCTAACCATGTATTTTGATTTCGGACATTGGACCATAATAGGTAAATTAAAAAAATTCAAGTTCTTAGACCACATTCTTTCTGTGTCAGAAACCTATGCTGTGTCAAATATTTAATAACAATCCAAATTCAGAGCTGTATCAAGCTTGAATGTTGTGTCCATACTTGCCCCAACTGTTCAGGGTTCGACCTCTGCGGTCGTATCAAGCTGCGCCCCAGCGAAGCATTTTATTGGCTCATATCTCTGAAACCAAAGCATTAAGAGCAAATCTGATGGGGATAAAATTGTTCATTAGGTCAAGATCTATTTGCCTTCAAATTTTCAGACCAATCAGGCAACAGGTTGTTGGGTTGCTGCCCCTGAATTGGTCATTTTAAGAAAATTTTGCCGTTTTTGGTTATTATCTTGAATATTATTATAGATAGAGATAAACTGTAAACAGCAATAATGTACAGCAAAGTTAGATCTACAAATAAGTCAACATGACCAAAATTATCAATTGACCCCTTAAGGAGTTATTGCCCTTTATAGTCAATTTTTTACAATTTTCGTAAATTTTGTAAATTTTTGTAAATTTTTACAATATATTTTCCACTGTAACTACCGGGCCAAGTTCATTATAGAGAGAGATAATAGTAAGGAGAAAGAATGTTCAGTAAAGTAAGATCTACAAACACATCACCATCACCAAAACACAATTTTGTCATGAATCCATCTGTGTCCTTTGTTTAATATGCACTTAGACCAAGGTGAGCGACACAGGCTCTTTAGAGCCTCTAGTTTTGTGTCAGAAACCTATATTATGTCCAAAATTTGATCACAATCCAAATTCAGACAGTATCAAGTTTGAATATTGTGTCCAAATTTGCCCCAACTGTTCCGGATTCGACCTCTGCGGTCGTATCAGGCTGCGCTCAGCGAAGCAATTTATTTGTTACTTATATAAATTTATGCTGTTATATATTGAACTTAGCAGACCAGACATATTGTTGTTTGTCTTTAGGAGGATCTAGTAATATTTTGGTATATATATTATGAGACTTACACACAATGCTTATTACCACAAAACTCAGATCAATTTCAAATTTGGGTAGCGTCACTTTTACCGTTCTTCAGTTATGTCCCTTTATAATTATATGATATGCAAGCGGGGGCATCATCTGTGTCCACATGTGGACACTATCCACATTTAATTTATTTTGTGTTTCTATAAAATATTTTGGAAACTTGAGGTTACATGGTTACTAAAGCTTGTAAACAGGAAGAAAAGGGCTGAAATTTGATTGGTTAACTTCCAGTGATGGTTATTATCTTATATGCAATGAAATGTTATGTGAAATTTTGTATGTAGAACTGGACAGGATAAAACTTTACTCATGCCAAGTATTTCTTTGTTTGAAACAAAAATAAATTCTGCACAATTTTTTGAAAAGTGCCAATTTAACAAATACTAATAAGGGAAAAACAATGGTGGTATTACTCCTTATAGAAGGGGCTATATTGCCTCATTTTTAGCTCACCTGGCCAAGTGAGCTTTTCTCATCACTTGGCGTCCGTCGTCTGTCTGTAACTTTTACAAAAATCTTCTCCTCTGAAACTACTGGGCCAAATTTAACCAAACTTGGCCACAATCATCATTGGGGTATCTAGTTTAAAAAATGTGTCCGATGACCCGGACTGCCAAACAAGATGGCCGCCATGGCTAAAAATAGAACAAAGGGTGAAAATGTAGATTTTGGCTTATATCTCTGAAACCAAAGCATTAAGAGCAAATCTGACATGGGATAAAATTGTTCATAAGGTCAAGATCTATCTGCCCTGAAATTTTCAGACAAATCAGACAACCCGTTGTTGGGTTGCTGCCCCTGAATTGGTAATTTTAAGGAAGTTTTGCAGTTTTTATTAGACCGCAAAAAAATTTTTGCAGTCGTATATTGGTATGACGTTGGCGTGGTCGTTGTCATCGTCGTCATCCGAAGACACATTGGTTTTCGCACAATAACTTTAGTTTAAGTGAATGGGTCTCTATGAAATTTTCAAGTTTCAATACCACAAAAGGAAGGTTGGGATTGATTTTGGGGGTTATGGTACCAACAGTTAAGGAATAAGGGGCCAAAAATAAGTATTTTTGTAACTTCCAGACAATAACTTGTGTGTTAGTGTATGGATCTCTCTGACATTGAACCACAAGGTTCCATATCACAAACGGAATGCTGGGATTGATTTTGGGGGTAATTGCCTCACAATTTTAGGAATTAGGGGCCAAAAAAGGTGCAAAAAACAAGCATTTTTCTAGTTTCATGACAATAACTTGTGTGTAAGTGTATGGATCTTTCTAAAATTGTACTACAAGGTTCCATATCACAAAGGGAAAGCTGGAATTGAGTTTGGGGGTAATTGCCCAAACCGTTTAGGAATAAGGGGCCAAAAATAAGCATTTTTCTAGTTTCCAGACAATAACTTGTGTTCAAGTGTATGGATCTCTGAAATTGTACTGCAAGGTACCATACCACAAAGGGAAGGCTGGGATGGATTTTGGGGGTAATTGCTTCAAAATTTTAGGAATTAGGGGCCAAAAAGGGGCAAAAAACAAGCATTTTTCTAGTTTCAGGTCAATAACTTGTGTGTAAGTGTATGGATCTTTATGAAATTGTACTACAAGGTTCCATATCACAAAGGGAAAGCTGGGTTTGAGTTTGGGGGTAATTGCCCTAAACATTTAGGAATTTTGGGCCAAATAAAGGCAACAGTAGTATACCGCTGTTCGAAATTCATAAATCGATTGAGAAAAAAACAAATCCGGGTTACAAAAAGGGGCCAAAAAACAAGCATTTTTCTAGTTTCCAGACAATAACTTGTGTTCAAGTGTATGGATCTCTCTGAAATTGTACTGCAAGGTACCATACCACAAAGGGAAGGCTGGGATTGAGTTTGGGGGTGATGAATCATAAGGGGGTTCAAAAAATTTGGGGGGGGGGGATTTTTTTTTTTCTATTCTTAGACTTTTATGATGTATTTAAATTGGTAATTATGGTTGCAAACTCCATTGGAAATTTGAATTGAGATTATGACCATATCTTGAGGGAAAGAATTTTTTGTTTGGAAAAGGGGGGAAGGTTAAAAAAAAATTTAGAGGGGGGAGGGGGGTAAAAAAGAAATTGTGGGGGCGATTTTTTTTTCATTTCAGATTTCAGAAATTTAAAAGAAAATTTCTTCAAATATTATTTCTTTTTGCCAAAAAAGGGGGAGGGGGTAAACATTTTTTTTTTTTTAGGGGGGGGGGGGGTCAATAGGCAACAGCACGGTGTATTCCCAAAGCAAAAAAAGGGGGGGTAAATTTTTTTTTGGGGGGGGGGGGGGGTCAATTTCGCAACAGCATAGTGTATTGCACAAAAGCAAAAAATTGAATATAAATACAAATCATATAACCAATTCTAACTTCTTTGACTACAGTTATTCGGTGTCAGAAACCTATTATGTGTCAAATATTTATTTACAATCCAAATTCAGACCTGTATCATGTGCGAATATTGTGTCCATTTTTGCCCCAAATGTTCAGGGTTGGACCTCTGCAGTCGTATCCAGCTGCGCTCAGCGAAGCATTTTATTGTTTATTATCTTGATTATTATTATAGATAGAGATAAACTGTAAACAGCAATAATGTAAAGCAAAGTAAGATCTACAAATAAGTCAACATGACCAAAATGGTCAATTGACCCTTTATGGAGTTATTCCCCTTTACCGTCAATTTTTAACAATTTTTTGTAAATTTTTGTAATCTTTTACAAAAATCTTCTCCTCTGAAACTACTGAGACAAATTTAACTAAACTTGGTCACAATCATCATTAGGGTATCTAGTTTAAAAAATGTGTCCGATGACCCGGCCCGCCAACCAAGATGGCCAACATGGCTAAAAATAGAACATAGGGGTAAAATGCAGATTTTGGCTGATATCTCTGAATCTAAAGTATTTAGAGCTAATCGGACATGGATAAAAATGTTCATCAGCTTAAGATCTATCTGCCCTGCAATTTTTAGACAAATCAGACAACTCATAGTTGGTTGCTGCCCCTGAATTGGTAATTTTAAGGAAATTTTGCAGTTTTTATACGCCTGTCAAATTTTTGACGGGACGTATTATGGTATACAAATGTCCGGCGTCCGTCCGTCTGTCTGTCCGTCTGTCTGTCCGTCCGTCTGTCTGTCTGTCTGTCTGTCTGTCTGTCCTGCGTAAACATGTCGCACTGTAACTTGAGAATGACTTATCCAAATTTCATGAAACTTAACATAGTTGTTTCTTATGATGGTCAAACGATCTGTATACTTTTTGGTGAAAATAAGATTAAAACTTTTTGAGTTACGGGACTTAGTAACTAAAACAGGTGTGTGTTTTTTTTCACATGTCGCGCCGTATCTCAAAAACAATTTATGATTATTGCTTAAAACTTTACACACTTCTTAGTTATATTAATCTTAAGATCTGTATACTTTTTGGTGATGATTCAAAATTTTATTTTAGAGATATTGAGTATTTTGTTAAAAAAGGGGGAGGGGTTTTTCACATGTCGCACCGTATCTCAAAAACAGTTTATGATTATTGCTTAAAACTTTATACACTTCTTAGTTATATTAACCTTAATATCTGTATACTTTTTGGTGATGATTCAAAATTTTATTTTGAGTTATTGAGTATTTTGTAAAAAAAGGGGGAGGGGTTTTTCACATGTCGCGCCGTATCTCAAAAACGATTTATGATTATTGCTTAAAATTTGACACACTTCTTAGTTATATTAATCTAAAGATCTGTATACTTTTTGGTTTTGATTCAAAATTTTATTTTTGAGATATTGATTTTTTAAATTTTTTTTTAAAGGGGGGGTTTTCACATGTCGCGCCCGTATCTCAAAAACGATTTATGATTATTGCTTAAAATTTTACACACTTCTTAGTTATATTAATCTAAAGATCTGTATACTTTTTGGTTTTGATTCAAAATTTTATTTTAGAGATATTGAGTTTTTTGTAAAAAAAAAGGGGGGTTTTCGCATGTCACGCCGTATGTCAGAAACTATTTATGCTTATTGCATCAAAATTCACACACAAGACGACGGGCGTAACATGCGCTCATGGCGCAGCTGTTTATTGGTTATTATCTTGAATATTATTTTAGATAGAGATAAACTGTAAACAGCAATAATGTTCAGCAAAGTAAGATCTACAAATAAGTCAACATGACCAAAATGGTCAATTGACCCCTTAAGGAGTTATTGTCCTTTATAGTCAATTTTTTAGATAAATAAACACTTTAAATCACAAAAATGATCAGCAAGGCAAGATCCATTAAAAAGTCAAATTTTGCCGATATAGATAGTAGACTGTCACTCTTCATAGGACTGATTGCCCTTAAATGAGGATTTTTTTTACCCTCTTTTGTGTTTTGAGCAAAAACAAAAGAAAATAGAGAGAAACTAATCAGACTAAAAGATCAGTAATACAAGATCAACAAAATAGAGAATTTAGTCATGAAGTCTATTCTCGTCTACAATGTTGGAGAGTGTCCTTTGTTTGATATATATGCACATAGACCAAGGTGAGCGACGCAGGCTCTTTAGAGCCTCCAGTTCTGTCTGTTAGTTCTTTATTCTGTTTTGGCTGTCTTGCCATGGTCATTTGTCCAACAAAATTTTTTTTTTAAAACAACTGAACAGATTGATTTCAAATTTAGTCAAAAGCTTGACAGTGATGAGTTGTAATGTGTGTGCACTTTTCAGATCCTTTGAATAAGGAGTTGGGGTATGCTTAGCACAACAACATGTGCATTCTTGTTCCTATTATATATAGTTAGTGTTTAACAGCTAAACCACCAGTTAAAAGTCTTATTTATGTTGGTTTTTTGTTTTAAGAAAAAACAATTGACACCGAATTAATTGAATTTTTTTTTCTTTTCTTTGGTAAATTGTAAGTTGTTTGTTATTCTGTAAAAACTAATTTTCTGAATGCTATATATATTTTTTTGATTAGGTGAACTGACTCCTTTCAAAACTTACCTTATATTGTCTATTAATAAACATATATTTAGATTTCTGATTTTGGGCCCAGTTTTCAAGTTGGTCCAAATCGGGATCCAAAATTAAACTGTGTTTGATTTCAACATAAATTGAAGATATATAGGGTTCTTTGAAATGTCGAATCTAAACCTGTATTTATTTTCATTATTAGTTAGATAATACCACATCGAGGTACAAAGGGTCCTAAATTAAACTTTTGTATAATCAAAAATTGAATTCTTGGGTTCTTTGATATGCTGATTTTAACAATGTTTGAGTGTTAAATCATATCTAATTTTAGAGAACTTAGTCATCACTGGTTGTTGTTATTATATTATTGATTATAATTTGAAAAATTACATCATATTAAATTTTATAGAACTTAGTCATCACTTCACTGGTTTATTGATTATAATCATATCTATATATCCAGTTTGAGTTATTTTCCTTTGCACAGAAAATATATGGATAAAATTAAATTGTGTTTCATTTCAACTTAAATTAGATATATATAGGGTTCTTTCAAATGCTGAATCTAAACCTGTATTTAATTATTAGATTTTTGGGCCCAGTTTTCAAGTTGGTCCAAATCAGGGTCCAAAATTAAACTTTGTTTGATTCACAAAAATTGAATTTATGTGGTTCCTTGAAATGCTGAATCTTACCATGTATTGAGAGATTTTGGATTGTGAGCTCCTTTATCAAATTGGTCCACATTGTGGTCCAAAGGGTCCTAAATTAAACTTTTGTTTGATTTCATCGAGTTCTTTGATATGCTGATTCTGACAATGTACTTAGATTTTGGATATTGGACCATAATAGGTAAATGTCCAATTTCAAATATTTCAGTTCTTTGACCACATTCATTTTGTGTCACAAACCTATGCTGTGTCAAATATTCAACCACAATCCAAATTCAGAGCAGTTTTAAGCTTAAATGTAGTGTCCATACTTGCTCAACTGTTCAGGGTTCGACCTCTGCAGGAAAATCCGGTTTGCTGTCACTCTGACAGCCTCTTGTTTAAGTTAAAAGAGGTTTGTAAATTTCTCCACAAAATAAAATTGATAAATAAAACAAGTGGATATATGTACATATTATTAAACAGCTCATTATAAACTTCTGATAAGCTTTTATTTCACAGTTACCTAACATGCTATAATAAGTTTTGAGAAGAGAACTTCATGTACAGAGGTATTCCTTGTGTCCATGCAATAGGTGATATTATGCATTACCTGATTTCATCTTATCTGCTTTGTAACAATGTAACATACATAGAATTGTTATTGTAATTATCTAAGCTTTTGGAATGGACAGAAAAGGTTTAAATTGACAGGTTAAAGCATAGATTTATAATTGCTATCCCATGTTTAACAATGTTTAACCATTTTAAAGCAAATTGTAATCAAAATGAAATAGCTTTTGCTTCCCATCCTTGGCTGTCTGTTTGGTTCAAAATGAACTATTTTGTAAAATAAAATCTTTCCTTAATCAAAGCATTCTATTTTTAGAATGCATGCTTGAAATCATCAGGCATTTTAGGAACTGGGAAAACGAGATTTTCTCAAATTTTGGACACACAATACACAAAATCTTTAAGATGAAATCATGACTAAAGAAGATTTCATGAAATGAAAGTATGTCAAGAATATGTTCACAAAATAATATCCAATTATTGGTTTTATAAAGTGACCAAAGTGTAGCCAAGATACACTAGAATGCTTCATAACTCTAAATACCGGGTAGTTAAGATATGAATTATGGGATGGAGAATTTGATTTCAGAATATATTCTCTGATTAATTATGATTTTTCAGGTAATATTTAGCCAGTCGAGTGATACTTTGGACCATCAACAGAGTGTTGTGTCTAGTGGCGAAGAAACATCACTACCAGATGCTGGATCAAGTAGGTTTTGTCATGAAATGTTAAAGTATTGTACTAAATAATAAGGGTCAGTGACCGTCCGTCAGAGGGTAACATTCTCATTTTCCTATTTAGATCACCTGGACCAGAGATCATTTAGAGCTACTGCCATCACATAGTATTAAAAGTGTGGCAAAAGATACCAAAGGGATATTCAAAACTTATAAGTCGAAAAAACAAACTGACAATGCAATGGTAAAAAAAACACAACAGTACACAAAACACAACATCGAAAAATATAGACTGAGCAACAGGACATGTTGCTCATGTAAGTACATACTCTGTGATAAGTCTAATTTGCTAAGTCACGTTCAAGAAAAAGAGGATGGGATTGTGGTTAAGAGAATTGGAACACATCCGTTGTCATCTGTGAAACAGATATTCCATAACTTTCAACCAACTTGTGATGGTGTCAGTAAAATTTTCAAAGGGATGATCTCAACTTCACCACTTGGAATTAATGGTTCAATAGCTTCTGTGTAAGCAGCAACCCTCTATCAAGGAAATCATGATAAGAAATGCAAGCTCTAGAATATTGTATCAACTGGGAGATATATACTCGATATGCAGGCGTTGCTGGAATGTTGCTATATAGAAATGGAAAGTTCAGAATTGGGAAACTGAAATCGTCTCTTTTGTGGTAAAGTTTTGTTCTCAACAGACCCTCATTGTTAATTTCTAGAGACAGACTTAACTGTATCTGTTGTATCCTTTATTTCAAGTTCCATGGGGTAGTTGCGTTCAACATAGCCACCAAACTTTGAATTGTTAAATAATAGGACATCATCTATATAGCAGAACGTGAAGTTAAAGGATAATTAATGCTAGCTTCTTTTGATTCTTCCTAACAAGATCCTGTATAAAGTCAGCCTCACATGAATCAAGGAACAATTTTTGTGGTTCATTGATCAATGTTAAGTTTCAGTAGTTAGGTTCTCTTCCAAGATACTATAAGCAATAAGTCAACTTTTTTTGGTGTATGGAATGATTGCAAGATGTACATGTCTGTCTGGCAGGGTTCGTCTGACCTCGGCCTTGTTTTCATGGTTCATTGGTCAATATTAAGTTTTCCTGGTTAAGTCTGTTTCTTAAATACTACGAGCAATATGGTCAACTTTAATTGATGCATGGAATGATCGTAAAAGAGAGGCGAAGGATACTAAAGGGACATTCTAACTCAAAAGTTGAAAATAAACTGACAATGCCATGGCTAAAAAGAAAAAGACTAACAAACAACAGTACACAAAACACAACATAAAAAACCAAAGACTGTAAGGTGTATATGTCTGTCTAACAGGGTTCATCTGACCTTGATCTCATTTTCATGTTTCATTGGTCAATATTCAGTTTTCATGGTTTTGTCTGTTTCTTGTATCCTATAAGCATAAGGTCAACTACATTTGGTGTATGTAATGATTGGAAGGTGTACATGTCTGTCTGGCTTGGTTTATATGACCTTGACCTCATTTTCATGGATCTTTGATAATGTTGAGATTATGTGATACTTGTAGTAAAACTTTATCTTTAGGACTTTTAACATAACATCAATCATGGTTAGTAAAGCAGGCAATACATTTCAGTGTGTGCACTCTTTTTGTAATTTTTGAAGGTCATTAGCTGACCTATAGTTGCTTCAATCTATAGCTATGTCATTTGGTCTATGGGTTAATAGTTGTCATTGACCTCATATTCGTGGTTCATTGGCCAGTGTTTAGTTTTTGTGGTTATGCTTGTATGTTAGACACTACATGTATAAGCAAAAGGTCAACTATATTTGGTTTCTGGAACAACTGCAAGGGTCTACATTTCTATTGGCATTGTTCATCTGTCTTTGACCTGCTTATGCTTAGAAGTTGTCCTTCCTTTGTTAATTCACTTTTCTTGGCTGTCTAATCAAATCATCCAGGATTTCCAACAGCTTCCTTCATTTGTGGAATTTTCTTTTTTGCTGTAATTACAAGTTTTGGCCTGTTTGTATGTGGTTGTCAGGTGGCATGGTGCACAGTGCGGGTGTTCATTGAAAAGTGGATACATAATTTGTATACCGATAATTGAACTCATACAGTTTTCAACCAAGTTCTACAAATTTGCACAGAAAGATTGCAAACACGTTGAAGTTGTGCACCTGCTATTATGGAATTGTATGAGAATTTTTTCCTATTTTCCAGATTTTGAATAAGTTTATTCTGTACTTGTGACTTTTAAAATTCTAAAAAGATATTTTAAGTTTAATCCTTTCCCAACTTTTCTGCTTTATTTTGCCAGTTGTTGTAGTTATAAAAATAAGGAGATGCAGTATGATATGTGAACCTTTATTTGTTCTGCCAAAATAAAAGTTCTGCTGGAAACTTAGTCAATAAACAATGCCATAATATCTGTTCCTGCTGGAACAAATGTTATACACCCTTTATTCCATAAGTTGTTCCAGTGGAAAAAATGTATAGAATATTTCTTCCATTTAGATCTTATATTATGATAGAACTTCCATTTAATGACAGATTGCCAATGAGACAACTATCCACCAGAGAAAAAAGGATGTGGATATAACTATAGACATACTTAAGCTTTGATAATTCATGATACACAACCAGACTTAATAAAAGCAAAGTAGAATCATTACAGAGGTGTTTTGTTATATTTGCAGGTGACAATGACCCAAATGTCAATGATATTAATCTGACAATCAAAGGCTTTGATTTTCTGGACAATGAGCTCAATGATTCCGAGGTTTGAATTTTATCTCTTATTCTTCATTTGAAAATTGTAGAACATATTTTACTCTCCGCATGCTGAACTGTTTTCAGAAAATGTCTAATTTTAGTTCATTTGCAAAAATATGCAAATTATATACAAATGAGCTTATACTCTGCTGCTGATGCATATTGATGTCAATAAAGTTAAGATAGGGGATCACAGGACAAGGTGGGTGGGTGTGATGCTGCCCCAAAGTTGGTTTTAAGTTGCAAAAAGCAACAATTTTGATTTTTCGCTCTATTTCTTGACCTGGAAGACAGAAGGGATGCTGATGGATGTATCTCATTGTAGTCTGCATGTAGAGTGGACCCAGTGAACACATTGACCCCATAAGTGCTTAGTTCAGAGTGAACCTGATCTGAGTATGGTAGTCTAAAGAAGGTCATTTCACCAAAAATTGGAATATTCAGATTTTTCTCGATTTTTTGGTTTCACCTGTACCTGCAACAGGAAGTAGTCGTTCCCCAAGCGTATTTCAATAATAAACACGATCAGTAGTTATATGCCTGTGGGTTTATCCTATTTTTGAAAGTTTTTGGCTTCTGTACTGCGTGTCCCAGACACCGAAGGGAAGCCCACCGCTCCAGAAAAAACAGTTTTATCAGATTTCAATTTTTATTTAGTATTTAGGGTCAAACTACACCTTAAACCTGACAATAAATAACATAAGTTTGAGGAAACATGCTTCAATTTCGAAATACATATCATACATTTGACCTCTAAAAGTAAATTTGGCAATTGGAGCCAAAAAAACAGTATTTTGGGTGGAGGCCGTAATGTTACGGCTCCCGTATGGTAAGGATTAAGATCTTTTAGAGTTTACATGATAAATTATTACTTGGTCAAAACAAATTTTATGTTTTCTAGAAAGTATGATATTTGCCATTGTAGTCATGCTAATTATTTTTGTATCATAGAGCAAAGTATGTTGCAGCAATGAGAATGTTAGAATTAGGGATGCTATTCTGGTGGGGAAGGCTTCAACAGTTGGGTAAATCTGATTATTTCAGAGGGTAGTAGAGCTGGATGAATCTGTACATTTCAGAGGGAAGAACAGGATGAATATTGTTATTTCAGAGGGTAGTAGAGCTGTATGAATTTGGTTATTGCAGAGGGTAGTAGAGCTGGATGAATCTGGTTATTTCAGAGGGTAGTAGAGCTGTATGAATCTGGTTATTGCAGAGGGTAGTAGAGCTGGATGAAACTGGTTATTTCAGAAGGTAGTAGAGCTGGATGAATCTGTACATTTCAGAGTGAAGAAGAACAGGATGAATATTGTTATTTCAGAGGGTAGTAGAGCTGTATGAATCTGGTTATTACAGAGGGTAGTAGAGCTGGATGAATCTGGTTATTCCAGAGGGTAGTAGAGCTGTATGAATCTGGTTATTACAGAGGGTAGTAGAGCTGGATGAATCTGGTTATTACAGAGGGTAGTAGAGCTGGATGAATCTGGTTATTACAGAGGGTAGTAGAGCTGGATGCATCTGGTTATTACAGAGCATGATAATTCATTATTAGTCTGAAGTTTCCAACTGAACTGTGATTAGAATGATTGCATAAACAAAACTAGATAAGTTGAACATTACACAATCTTTTCTTAAGCCCCTTCTGTAGCGAAGGGGGCATTAAGTTTTACCCATGTCCGTCTGTACATCCGTCCGTAAGTCCCAAAATTGGTTTCCGTTCTCTTAACTCTAATTTGCCTCAACCAAATGTTATGAATCTTATGCACAATGCTTATTATCACTAAACACAAATCAGGTTTGAATTTTGGTGGCATCACTTTTACCGTTCTAGAGTTATGCCCTTTACAAATGGAAAAATTGCTGAATTTTTCGTTTCCGTTCTCTAACTTTAGTTTTCCTCAACCAAATGTTATGAAACTTATACATAATGCTTATTACCACAAAACACAGATCAAATTTGAATTTTGGTGGCCTCACTTTTATCGTTCTAGAGTTATGCCCTTTACAAATGGAAACTTTCTGAATTTTTCGTTTCTGTTCTCTAACTTTAGTTTGCCTCAACCAAATGTTATGAAACTTATACACAATGCTTGTTACCACAATACACAGATCAAGTTAGAATTTTGGTGATGTCACTTTTATCATTCTAGAGTAATGCCCTTTACAAATGGAAAAATTGCTGAATTTTTCGTTTCTGTTCTCTAACTTAAGTTTGCCTCAACCAAATGTTATGAAACTTATACACAATGCTTATTACCACAAAACTCAGATCAATTACAAATTTGGGTAGCGTCACTTTACCGTTCTTGAATAATGTCCCTTTATAACATTATATGCAAGTGGGGGCATCATCTGTGTCTCATGGACACATTCCCTAATTATTTCAAATATATATGGTCTATAGACTAGTTTCCAGTTCTTCTTAATGAATGAGGTAAATAATGTCATTGACCAATTGACTCTTACTGTGACCTAAGCATTGTGATATGAGAATTGTACGAGGAAATGCATGAATACGAAAGTTGTCTTTAGAATCATTGTAATATGTACTTGTATGTCAAACATCTTGACCTCATTTTTATGCTTCAATAATTAACATCAAGTTCTGAGTAATACATCAATAGTATCTGTTCTGTAGAATTAGTAAATGTCCATCTGACAGGGTTGACCAAGGGTTGACCTGATTCTTACCTTATTTTCATGTTTCATTGATAAATGTAATTTTATGCCAGTAGTACCTGATCACAAAGATAAGTGTTACATTAAGAATTTAAAAAGGCATGTTGTTAATATGAAAACAGGTGCCAAATTGGAATAATTGCACTTTAGCATGTGGACTTGATTGGAGAAAAAGGGTTTATTAATATATTAACATATAAATGAATTGGAAAAAAATGTAATTGTATGGGTTAAACCATTTGAAAAGTGGCAATATTGATTCCTTGTGTGGTTTGTCAAATACACATTGTTATTATCAAAATAATCCCATGTTATCTGATTTATGATTGATGCTTCTTTTTATATTGGTATCACGTCGTTGTCCTTGTCGTCGTCCGAAGACACATTGGTTTCCGGACAATAACTTTTGTTTAAGTGTATGGATTTCTATGAAATTTTACCATAAGGTTTATGACCACAAAAGGAAGGTTGGTATTGATTTTGAGGGTTATGGTCCTAACAGTTCAGGAATTAGGGGCCAAAATGGGGCCCAAATAAGCATTTTTCTAGTTTCCAGACAATAACTTGTGAAATGGTGTATGGATCTCTCTGAAATTATACCACAAGTTACAATCACAAAGGGATGGTAAGAATTTGCTTTGGGGGGTTATGGCTCAAACTGTTTAGGAATTAGGGGCAAAAAAGGGGGAAAAACAAGGGTTTCCAGGTTAATGGACAATTACTTAAGTACAAAACATAATTCAAACACATATTGTCAAATTACCTCCCTTACACTGCTTGTAAATTATTTATAAAGAAATGTATTGTCTTTAGGTGATTAGCTGTCAATTTATTTTTAGAAGTTACTATTTTAAAAATGTTTAATAAAGGTTTTTTAATTTTTGCCATGACTATGATGTCATTTTCTATTTTAAAACTTTTATGATGTATTTAAATGGGCTTTTATGGTTAAAAAAATCATTTTTCTAGTTTCCAGACAGTAACTTGTGATTAAGTGTATGGATCTCTCTAAAATTGTACTACAAGGTTCCATACTACAAAGGAAAGACTGCAATTGAGTTTGATGGTTAATGCTAAAAGGGTGTTTCAAAAAGTTTGGGGGCAATTTTTTTTAAAAGGGTTCGTATTTTTTTTTTTTTATTTTCAAAATTTCAAATTTTTGAAAAGTTTCAAGAAGAAATCTTCAATTGCACAGTATTGCCCATTAGATTTGTAAGATCTTTGACCACATTTATTTTGTGTCAGAAACCCATATTATGTCAAAAATTTGATCACAATCCAAATTCAGATAGTATCAAGCTTGAATATTGTGTCCAAATTTGCCCCAACTGTTCAGGGTTCGACCACTGGGGTCGTATCAGGCTGCGCTCAGCAAAGCATTTTATTAAAATGCTTGACCCACAATAATAAGGGTGACATTGTGTATTCCAGTCTGTCTGTACATCTGTTAGCTTAAAGATTTGGTTTAAGGAAGTTAGATGTGAAGCTGAAGTTACATTAACATGAAACTTGATACATATGTTCATTATGACTTGAACTTTCTGAAATTAAGCAAAATTAAGGTTTTGACCCTGATTTAAAAGTTTTTTGAAACATCGAAATGTGATATGGTCTGAAATCTGTCCATTCTAAGGTTAAGGTTTGGTTTAAGGTAGTTAACTGTGAAGTTGTTTTCACATCTTCATGCATACATGTTTATAATGATGTGAATTTTCGAAATATGACAAATTATGGTTTTGATCCTTATTTCATGGTTCAATGAATTATGGACACAGCAGGCACTAAGTATTTTGATGACACAAACTGTTATAACCAAAGAATAAGTGCCTATTTTATGCTCATTGTAAACTGTGAACATATATTTGTTCCGCATGATACTTGTTCCCCCTGGAACAAAACTATGGATAATAAAAGTTCTTGGGAACAAACATTACATAATACTATTTCCACCTTCATAAGATATTCACCTGGAACTAAAACATCATATGGTTTCATAATATTTGTTCCTTTAAAGATAGAGTGTTATTTGATTTTTAACACCTGATTACATCTTAATTAATGTTCACCTCACATGGCATTTACCTGCACATGTAGTACAAACAAAGAATGGAGTCTGAGGAATACAACAAAAATTGTACATATTTAAACGATGGCTCTTATTCTAAAGAAGGTAAGAATATATATTTTTAATATTTTATTACTGCATGCTCCACTGTGACTTACTTAACTAAATGGTCCGTTAGTCTGTATCAATGAAGAAAGTTTATTTTATACTTTAGTCAAGCATGAAGTTAGCCACAAATTTCAGACGAAAATGCCTGTACTTTA